GATCTTCTTGAATCGGTGGAAATCTAATATAGGGGCAAGTGATCCATGGAGCCATACAACTATCTAACCTGTAATAGTGATCTATGCGAACCTCTTTAGCTAGAACCTTCTTAGGTTGAATTAGTTTAAACTAGACTAGTGCTAACCATAGTTATTAAACCCGGTCCGGCCCCGCGCGGTTTGACCGGTCAACCCGATGAACCGACCATTAAAACCGGACCGGTTCTCTAATTAGATCGTTTCTACAAGTGAATCGTTGACTTTTCAATGGACCGGCGGTTCAACCGGATTAAACCGGAAACCCGGCCGATTTTGTGGGCAAATCGGTTTTGAGGGAAAAAACCTTTTCCAAGCCTCTGCTTGGATTCAAACCCAAGACCAAAGGTCTTGTTTGTGTGTCGCTCACCACCAGGCCACTTTGTCACTTGTTAAGTAATGGCCATTCTTATGCTATATGAATGTTTTGTTAATTTTATCTTTATTTTTTTGTAATTCTCCAAAACAAATTTATTTGGAATTTTTTAATAAAACTTATGACCCCTATATTCTATAAATTATAAAATAGATTTCAAAAATAACATATTACATAATTTATTTTAAAGACAAATATTGTTTTTAATATTTTTTTGCACTTAAAATTCGTAAATAACCCCGATAATTACAGTAAACATATACACTTGAAGTTTGGTAGATTACTAATTAAATTTATGTTTTACTGATTCTTATATGAATTAAATATTCTATAGCAAATTAAATTAAATGAATATTTGTTATGACATTATTTATTACAATTTATATCATATATCCTATATCAAAATTTATTATAAGATATAATATTTAAATATATTTAGTGACCCACTGGTTCAACCACTCACCCACCGGTTGAACCAGTGATCCGTTGACCCACCTCCTTTGCCGGTCTCCTCTCCGGACCGAGTTTAATAACTATGGTGCTAACTATACACACTTCCCACAAATTGGTTGAGAAAAACTCTAGTTTTTCACCATTAAAAACTTGCCCCAATAAGAGAAATAAGAGATGTGATTTTTTTTCTTATTTTCTTGGATGAATTTTGGGAATTTTCTCTCAAAATTTTTCTCAAAAATTTCACAAGGCAATTTATGTATCAATTAGTCTTGCTAGCAAAAGTTTTGTGAATCTTTATACACAAATAAGTTGTCCATACCCTTATGAAAACTTGAAACCATTAATACAACTCTTGTATTTGAAAGAATTAAACTTATTTACAATATGAATCCCTCAAGTTTAATTTATCTCACAAATTAAATTATAAGTTATAAAAACCTATCTATCAAGTCCCTATTTGAAATTCATTTAATTTAGTTAAAAAGTTCTTAATGTGTGTTACCATTAGATTCTCATCTACGTTGGCAATAGGTATGAATTATAATTCTTAATAAATAAGAATTAGATAAATTAAAACTCCTTTTAATTTATCATTGATTCCACCAATCAATCAGCTCATACTTATAGATCAAGATTGGTATCTAGCAATGTATCATGACTGTAGACAATGAAATTTTAATTAAATTCTAAAAATTACCATTGGTCTATTAAAATATTTTTGTCCAATCGAATATTGCCATATTTCATGTACACTTGGAAAATTTGGTTATTAAGCAGCCAATTATATTTTGCCACGTGTCAGGGTGAGGTGTTCCAAATCAATTCAAATTGCAGGGGTATTTCCACCAACCAAATCATATCATATCATGTATTTATTGGATAAACATCTAAATATTTATTTCTTATTAAAGGGATAATATTTAGAATTGTTTAATCCAAATATATCTCTTATATACTGCAATGGCCTGGCCAGTAAAATGACGCCACGTCACGTGTCCCCACAAGTCTGGCCAATCGAAAAATTACTTATCTCTTTATTAATGAAGAGATAATATTTAACTGGCACAGTCCTAATATGACTGTACGTCTTGCTAGGCAAGTAGAGTGGTGTACATGATCTCAACCTCCACCTCTTGTTACAACTATAAATAGAGGTCTCTCAACCAAATTAAGGGGACACAGAGATATCAAGAAGCATCTCATACACTCAAGTATTGAAGCTTCAAGCTACGAAAGTCTGGGTCTCAAAGCTCCTCAAGTCTTCCGCATATCAAGGCTTGAGCCTTCATGTATTTTCAAATCCTTCAAATCTTCCATATCAAGATTTGAAGGAGTTGGTGGTTGATCCAAGAACAAGCTGCGAATCCCTTGGATTGGTGTTCGAGGAGAAGAATCGAAGGAAGCCCTCCATAAGTTCGAGAAATTTCCAGAGATTGTACCTACATATTTTTCTAAGTTTATATATTACATATTTGTCGTGTATTTCTTTTTCTTGTCGTTTTGCAGACTTGAAATTTTTATCGCGTACAAATTTTTGGCACGCCCGGTGGGACCATCTCTGCCTTCCATCTCTTCTCCTCAAATATTCAACTACGTCTATCACCAATGGCACCAAAGAGCAACAAAATCGTGATTGCACGTTCCAAGGCTACTGATGCTAAGCCTGTTCAGGAAGCTGCACACGTTGCCACCAATACCCGCATTATTGGCCCCGTGACAAGGAGTATGACAAGGGCTTCCACCCAAAGTAGCATGGAACCCTCGGCACCAACTCCCGTCTTCGGGCCAACATCACAAATGAGCTATTCCTCCACGATGGGGGTCCAAGACGTTTTCACCTCGATTGAGAAGGCTCTTGCCATGCTCGAATTTGGATTCGAACCCAAATTTTATAAGCATGACGATGATTCATCAAGCACTGGATCAGCCTCTTCACATGAAACTCTTCATTCAAGATTTTGTATTGAAGATTCTGCTGCTTCTTCTGCTGCAATGCCTGCCATGATGACAAATACTTTGAGTCTCGAAGAACAAGTTTCGAACATGTCCAAGATGATGGAAACCATGATGAAACACATCAAAGACCAAGATGCTCTTATCGCTCAACTGCTCACCCAAAAGGACCACGCTCCTGAGGGAAGCCATATGAATTCTAAGGAGAACCAAGAGCGTGAAAATCTCTCATCTAAAGGTAAAGACAAGATGAAAGAAGTACACGTGACCGCCGAGGGAACTATCCCTGTAGAACAGTTGAAGGAACTTGTTGAAAGCGTGATCAAGAACAAAAATGGGGGTAGTTCAAGATCGAGTTTTACCTACTCCAAACCTTACACTGCTAGAATTGACAATCTAGCAATGCCTACTGGATATCAACCGCCTAAGTTTCAACAGTTCGATGGAAAAGGCAGTCCAAAACAACATGTGGCTCATTTTGTCGAAACCTGCAATAACGCTGGAACCTATGGTGACCTACTAGTCAAACAGTTCGTCCGATCCTTGAAGGGCAACGCGTTTGATTGGTACACTGATCTCACTCCGGGGTCCATCGACAGTTGGGAACAGTTGGAAAAAGAGTTCTTGAATCGCTTCTACAACACTAGAAGAACCGTCAGTATGCTGGAGTTGACTAACACTCGTCAATGGAAGGATGAACTTGTGGTCAACTACATTGATAGGTGGAGAAGTCTGAGTCTCAACTGCAAGGACAGGCTGTCTGAACCCTCTGCCATAGAAATGTGCATTCGAGGAATGCATTGGAGCCTAAGTTACATTTTGCAGGGTATACGCCCAAACACATTTGAAGACTTAGCTACTCGTGCTCATGACATAGAGTTAAGCATCACGGCCAATGCAATTGATGGGCTTCCTATTCAAATTCCGCGAGTACAGCCGCCTCGGCAAAATAATGAAAGACAAGAAAATAGAAAAGGGGGCAAGCCTCCTTCAAGATTCAATAATAAGGAGTCCATGGCAATAAACACAGCTCCCATGAAAATTGCTACCAAAGTGAGTCGAAAGATCACTGAGAAATTAGATTCCTCCCAGAATAGATCAGTAACAAGACCCACTTTAAAAGAGATGCAAGAAAGGGAGTACCCTTTCCTTGAGTCCGACTTACAAGGAATGTTTGATGATCTTTTCAAGGAAAAGCTCCTTGAACTTCCCGACATGAAGCGTCCGGAGGAAGCCGGTTAAGTCAATTATCCGAATTATTGCTGTTATCACCGTTTGATTGGTCACCCTCTCACTAAATGCTTTGTCTTTAAGGACAAAATTATGGAATTAGCCCGCCAAGGAAAAATCCTTCTTGAGGAGGATAAAGCATCGGCAAATCAAACAACAATAATGTTTGGATCTGTGTGTTGCCCGATAGAAGTTCTACCCACATCAAGCAGTGCTTTGTCTGTACAAACAGAGTTTGAAAAATCGTCAATTGAAGATGTTGTCGAAGATGATAATGAATGATGGACTTTAGTCACTCGAAAGAGAACTTGCAAGCCAAGAATAAAGAAGTACATCTTTTCGAAAAGCATCCATTCGACAAAGCCAAAAGTAACGATGAAACGATAAAATGCAACAAAGAAACAAAAGAGAGTGGCCATAAAACCAATTCCTTCAGATTTTCAGCCCCTTCAAAAGGTTCGGCAGCCCGTGACACTGAGAGAATTTATACCCAAGGGGTATTTAAGTGACGATACCGATGATTTCACTTCTTGTAATGTCGTCAAAGCTGAAAATCCTCAAGTCACACAATTGGCACTGAATTTGAGAAAAAACTCAAAGTCGATGATAAACCACCGGTGGATTGTGCAACGACCATCATTTTTGATGATGATGATTTAACTGTTGAGCTCAAGACCCACAATCGACCTTTGTTTATTAGTGCATATGTTCGAGAACAAAAGATGAGTCGGGTACTCATTGATGGGGGATCTGCTGTCAATATCATGTCCGTACGTGCTATGAAAGAGTTAGAAATCTCAAGTGATGAACTCTCCCAGAGCCGCCTCATGATCCAAGGATTTAATCAAGGGGCCAAAGAGCAATTGGCCTCATAAGGCTTGAATTGCTCATTGGTGAGCTGTCTTCAAGTGCGTTATTTCATATCATTGAAGCCAAAACCTCTTATAACATGCTTTTGGGAAGGCCCTGGATTCACGAGAATGAAATTATACCATCTACTCTGCATCAATGTTTCAAATATTGTCGAGACGGTATTGTTAAGAAAGTTACTGCCGATGACAAACCTTTCACGGAAGCCGAAACTCACTTTGCCGATGCTAAATTTTATCTTCACAAAGAAGCAAAAAGAAAGGAATCGATAAGGGAAGAAAGTCAAGATTCCAAAGTACCCATTTTGCGGTATACTCCAAGATCAAAGAGAGAAGAAGGTCAGTTTTCTTTTATCAGAAATGACACATTAAATGTTTCGCTCACCAAGATAGAGCCTGTTAAAATTGAGAAGGTGAGCTTGCAAGGGTTTGTTCGTCCCAAAGAAGAACCGGCAGTGGAACATTACTCGCTACCAACTAATCGGACTCAAGAAGGTTTTGATCCAAATGCCTATAGACTTCTTGCTAAGGCGGGTTATAACCCAAATGAGAAGAATACATTGGGCAAACTCCCTCCTGAAGTGACTGGCGAGAGGACTCACGGATTGACACCTACGCAGAAAATGTTGAAAGAAAGGGGCTATAATGTTGAAAGTTCATCGATGGGTCTTGGTTATCAACTGTCCTCTCCTGTTCGTATAATGATCAAAAGAGCGAGTTGTAACTATGTGAACGAAGAAATGGAGGTCACAAGCCGAAAGAGATCTGTGTTCGACCGATTGGAAAATAAGTCAAAACGTACTTCTGTGTTTGACAGACTTGGCCCGCAGCCGAAAAATCTGAAGTCGCCCGTCTATGAGAGATTAGGCAGTAAGAAACAAGAGTACCAAGTTGCCAGGGAAGAAAGTTTTACTCCAATAAAGAAGAACAGACCAAGAAAGCGAGTCTCCAATTTCTTCATGCACTATGGAGACTTATTCAATGTAAGAATTGAAACCATTTTTGAAGAACAGGGTCAAGAAAGTACGGCTTCCTGTCACCATATTACGATCAGTGATCTTGAAGAAGAAGAAGAAGATGCAGATGACGCTCCCGCTGAACTTGAACAAAGGGTAAAAAATACGGTCGATGAGCTAAAAGAGATTAACCTTGGCACAATCGACGACCCTCGCCCAATTTACATAAGCTCCTGTATGACTCCTGAAGAAGAAAAAGAGTATGTTGATTTGCTGCTCGAGTTCAGGGACGTCTTTGCCTGGAATTACTCAGAAATGCCTGGTTTGGATCCAAGGGTCGCCGTTCATAATTTGTCCGTCAAGCGAGGAACAAAACCTGTCAAGCAAACGCAAAGGCGCTTTCGGCCCGAATTGATTCCTCTGATAGAAAATGAGATAAATCGATTGATTGAAACCGGATTCATACGAGAAGTAAAACATCCAACATGGATTTCAAGCATCGTCCCTGTAAGGAAGAAGAATGGGCAAATTCGAGTTTGTGTTGACTTTCGAGACTTAAACGAGACTTGCTCCAAAGATGATTTTCCTCTCCCCATCACAGAATTGACGGTAGATGTTACAACCGGGTATGAAGCACTATTTTTTCTCGATGGATCGTCTGGCAACAATCAAATACGTATGGCGCCCGAGGATGAGGAGCTAACTGCCTTCCGCACCCCCAAGGGAATTTATTGCTATAAAGTAATGCCGTTTGATTTGAAAAATGTTGGAGCGACATATCAAAGGGCAATGCAAAGAATATTTGATGATATGTTCCATAGAAATGTGGAGTGCTACGTTGATGACCTTGTGGTGAAATCAAAGAAGCGAGAGGATCATATTCAAGACCTTCGAAGAGTTTTCCAACGCCTTCGGAGATACCAATTAAAAATGAATCCTTTGAAGTGCGCATTCGGAGTCACTTCTGGTAAATTTCTTGATTTCATCGTTCATCAACGGGGAATAGAAGTCGATCGATCTAAAATTGATGCCATTGTGAACATGCCTGAACCGGGAAATATTCATGAATTGAAGAGCGTTCAAGGGAAGTTGGCATATATCCGGAGGTTTATCTCTAATTTGGCCGGGCGATGCCAACCCTTTAATAGACTGATGAAGAAATGGGTACCCTTCGAGTGGGATGAATCGTGTAGGAATGCTTTTACAAGCATCAAGGCGTATCTCATGAATCCCCCAGTGCTGGCTGCGCCCATTCCAAGAAAATCATTGATTCTCTATATTTTCGCTCAAGAACGGTCGGTTGGGGCCTTATTTGCTCAAGAAAACGATGAAGGTAAGGAGAATGCGCTGTATTACTTGAGTCGGATGATGACATCTAATGAGTTGAACTACGCACCTATCGAGAAGTTGTGTTTGGCACTTATATTTGTCATTCAGAAGTTGAAACATTATTTTCATGCACATACTATTCGTCTCATATCTAAGTCCAATCCCATTAAATATGTCATGGCAAAACCTGTACTATCTGATCGGCTCGCGAGATGGTACCTCCAGTTTCAACAATTTGAAATTATTTACGTACCTGCGAAGGCTGTCAAAGGACAAATATTGGCAGACTTTTTAGCCGATCATCCCCTACCTGCCGAGTGGGAGTTGACTGATGAACTTCCCGATGAAGAAGTGTTTATGGTCGAATTGCCGTGGTCAATGTATTTCTATGGAGCTGCCCACCGTGATGGAGCTGGTGCGGGAGTTGTCTTTTATACTCCTGAAGCAGATATATTGCCATACTCTTTCACTTTAACACGCCGGTGTTCCAACAATGTGGCTGAATATCAGGCGTTGATTCTCGGTCTTGAAACGGCTGTAGACATGAAGCAGTTGCATCTTAGAGTCTACGGTGATTCAAAATTGGTGGTAAATCAACTCCTTGGTGTTTATGATATCAAAAAACCTGAATTGATCCCATATTACAAGTATGCAAGGATATGGGATATTTAGGTAATGTCACTATAGAACATATCTCTAGAAATTTCAACCAACAAGCTGATTCTTTGGCAAGGGTGGCGTCCATGATCACTCTACTTTCTTATCGAAATCAGATTTCAATATGTCAAAATTGGGTCATACCTCCGATGTTTGATGAAGGTAATGATAGTGAAGAAGAAAATACTTATCATATTTTTGTCCATGAGATCGAAAAGGAGGATTGGCGTCACCTCATCATTGATTATCTTAATCATGGAAAGTTACCAGAAGATCCTAAGAAAAGGGTTGATATACGTCGTCGAGCACCACGTTTCATTTACTACAAAGGGACGCTTTACCGAAAGTCATTCGATGGGGTGTTTCTACGATGTCTTGGAGAAGATGAGGCCATGCAAGCAATGGAGGAGGCTCACTCTGGGATATGCGGTGCTCACCAGTCTGGCCCGCAATTACACTTTCGTATTAAAAGAATGGGATACTACTGACCAACAATGGTAAAGGATTGCATTGACTTTGCTAGAAGATGTCAAGCATGTCAATTTCATGGCAATTTCATCCATCAGCCCCCTGAACCATTGCACCCAACTGTGGCTTCTTGGCCGTTCGATGCTTGGGGTTTGGATATAGTTGGACCACTTCCAAAGTCTTCTGGCGGACATGTTTTTATTTTGGCGGTGACGGATTACTTTTCAAAGTGGTCAAAAAGGATTACCAGTCTAAGAGAGGTCAAAAAGGAGAATGTAGTGGATTTTATTCGTTTGCACATCATTTATCGGTATGGAGTCCCGCGTTATATCATTACCGATAATGGTAACCCTTTTTGCAATGTAGCAATGAACAAACTTTGCGAGAAATTTCATTTCAAACAATACAATTCGTCCATGTACTACACTGCTGCAAATGAACTCGCTGAAACATTCAATAAGACCTTATGTAATCTGTTGAAGAAAGTCGTGAATAAATCGAGAAGGGATTGGCATCTTCGAATTGGAGAAGCACTTTGGGCATACCGAACTACTTTTCGAACTCCCACGCAAGCGACCCCATACGCGCTTGTTTATGGTGTTGAAGCTGTTCTTCCACTTGAGTGTCAAATACCTTCGCTAAGAATTGCGATTCAAGAAGGGCTCAGTGGAGAAGATAATGTCCGTCTTCGCCTTAAGGAGTTAGAAGCACTCGATGAAAAGAGATTGGAAACCCAACAACGGATTGAGTGTTATCAAGCCCGCCTTTCAAAAGCATTTAATAAACATGTCCGGCCACGCTCTTTCCAGATTGGAGATTTAGTACTCGCCGTTCGGAGACCGATCATTCTCACTCATGGCGGTCAAAGAAAGTTTACTTCTAAATGGGATGGACCCTATGTTGTTCGAGAAGTGTATATAAATGGCTCATACAAATTGGTTGCTGAAGACGGGTTAAGGGTTGGCCCCATCAATGGCAAGTATCTAAAAAGGTACTATGCGTAATTGGAACCGCGCAAGGCTCCTGGCCCGCATGAGCTAAAACTGTGGATGGCGACCACCAATAGTGTAGTATGTGGTTAAACTGTTGAAACACTCCACCAAGTCTAAGGTGGTAAACAAATAGATACTCCTGACCCGCATGAGATTAAAATGTGAACGGCAGGAACTACGTGTGACTTGATTCCCTTGTTGGGATACGTAGGCAGCTTGGAGGGCAACTTCTAAGTTCAGTTACACCACTCCAAATCAAATCCTTGTCCCTTGTAAAAAAAAAAAAGGAATTTCCTCTTTCCAAAAAATAAAAAAAAAACATAATAAAATGCTCCATTTGAGTTCTTTTCTCTTTAAAAAAAAGGAAATAAGAAATGAAAAGCGTTTTATTATTGAAAAAAAAAAAGAAACTCATTACATGGAAAAAAAATGATAAATGGCAAAAGAATTCAGGAAAAAGAAGAACATGGTGGAAAGTCTAAACATCAAATTTGTATTCCACTACAGCTACTTTATATGATTCAAGTGCAGACTTCATGTCCTCAAGTTCCCTCACAGCGTCATCAATCAAGATGCTGGTCTATTCAATGGAAGATAGCTCATCATGCGCTTGGGTTATTTCGACCTGAATCTCTTTGAAGGTCTCATGCTTTTGATCGATAGTTGAGGTGATTTCCAGGCTTTGCTTCTCCAAACTGATGAGTTCCTGTTGCAGAACCTTCTTCCTGGCTTCAATGGATTGCAACTCTTCTTCAAGACTTTGCAAATGACGAGTCAGTTCTTCTCCCTTTGCCTTAACTTTCTCGAGTTGGACGGTCGCTTTGGAAAGGAGTTCTGCATGTGTTTCTTTGTTCATCCTTTCCCACGATGAAGATGCTAGAACATCATAAGCCTCCGCCTTGGCAAACAATTCCATCAAGTGGTCTTTTAAAGGGAGACCATTGGCGGGATCCGTTCTTGTGATTTCTACAATGATTTCCTCTGCACACTCTTTTAAAGAAAAGATCTGCTCAATTGGAGTGTCAAGAATCTGTCCGCGGAAATCCATCCACAAACTTTACAAGTACTTTCTTTGATGTGCCTGGATCAACTTTTGACCGTGAAATTCTGAAACCAATGCCACCTTAAGCCTTTTTCGAATTTCGTGTGAACTAGTCAGCTCCTTCTTATGCATTGACGAAGTACCTCCACTGGGGGCAAATTGTCTTGGAGTACTGATAGCTACTTCGTCACTCTTGTTGTTTGAGATTATATCATCAGTTTCGAGTTCGGGTGATGAATTGTTACCAACACCTTCTTGACGAAATTCAAGAAACGGGGGCTGAAAAGGAAAAAGTTTTAAAAAAAAATTTTACAAAAAGGGAAAAATATGGAGAGATGATCACCTTAAGTGGCGACACTCCAACCAACGGTGGTGTAAAGGAAACCTCCTCCAAATCAGAAGACGTCCTCTTCTTTGATCGGTTCCAGTGACGATCTTGACTACTACTACCGCTCGCCAACGAATGGGTTCCTCCCCGGGTAGATCCGATGCCCTGAGAGTCCCTTCCTTTTCTATAGCCTCGATAGAATCATGATCGTCCACCGTTTCGACTTCGACATCTTCTTCAGTGTGAGTCACCGATAAGGATTTTGGAAGTTTGGGTGGCGTCTGCCCTGTTGGAATCACTGGTTGTACCTCATTGATGGCTTGTCGAGAGTCCTTGGAAGACTTATTCCTTGCGACAATATTTTTCGAGGGACTGCTAGTAATTTTGTTCTTTCGCAAGGTGAATGAGGCAAGACCCGTTACAATCTCTATAGCTCCATTATGATGCCCTGACTCGTTAGCGGAGGTAGTCTTACCCTTCTTCGATGATTGCTGAGGGATCTTAACGGTGAATTTAAAGGAAGTTGAAGAGACACTATTTGACCGAGTCGACCACCAGGCGTCATAGTCTTTTGTGATCAATGGATGCTTCCTGTGCGCGGGTATAGTCATCCGAGATCGTGTCTGCGTGCGAATTGAGGAATCCCATAGTTGAATAGCCTCACCCAAAGTATACGTGTGAGTGATCTCTTTCAAGTTGTTGGGGATATCCTGACAGAAGCCGAATTGTCTGCTGAACCTGCAAGGATTATATTTTTCAATAATGAAAATATTGTCCTTACGTAGAGTTAGATGGCAAGAGCGTTGACTAATGAAGTAGCTCGTGAGTCTGGATGATAAGGATCCGTCATCGATCAACGCCTTTTCTTCATTCTCAGTCCAGCACAATTTAGGAAGCATCAAAGGGTTCACTTCTTTGAAAATTTCCTCAGCTTCCAATTGGCCATAAAATATTGCCATTTTCTCACCACTAAATCTTGTCATGCGCGCGTGGTGGCTACTCACTTAATGATTTTTGTAATAGACATCGAAGTATTGACCAATCCAAGCATAGACGTAATGAATTGGAAAAGTTACCCCGCATTCTCCAAGGTTAGGGGCGTGGACGATCTCTTCAACCCATGATATATGCTCGCAAGGACGGGAATTGTAAGACAAAATCTTTTTCCTGTGGCCATTAAGCATGCAACCTTGAAGACACTCGGGCGAATATGATCGACCTTTTTGCTTGGCAAAAGGAACTTGCAAATCCAACATGCTATGAATGCCGCAATATAGGTTTCCTTTCTTAGAGACCCTAGGATACCCAGGGTGTTAAAAGGGGCGTTAAAATCATTCGTATCGGCAAGGTCGTAAGGCTCCACGCTTCCAGAAGGGTTGTAAGTCATTTTTGGTTTAGATGTGGTCTTCCTTCTATTCGCTCTACTCGGAGGAGCCCTATACCTAGCCTCTCCTTTGAACCAGAAGCGAATCCAGTCCTTCATCCATACCCCTTGGTCATTTGTCCAAAGGTGGTAGTAGGCGAAAAAGAGGTGCCTGCAATTCTCTGGGAGAAGTGGCTTCCCTTCTTTGTCACGGTGAGGAGCTCCCGCGCCGAAGGAACAACTTCATCAAAAAACGTGCCGTCGATCGAAAGGCCACCAAGTCGATAGAGGTCCCAAAGTGTAATGGACAACTCCCCAACGGGCGTATGGAGTGTGTTCGTCGAGGGACACCAATATTTGAAGAAGGCTCGCAAGATATTTTCACAGCGGTCGTAGGAGTATCTCGACGCGTAGACGGCTTCAAATATACCAGCGCGTGTGAGTATGTTTTTATGCCTTCCAAGCATGTCCTCAACCCACTCCCAATAATGGGAGGTGAAGCACACCTCACCGAAGAATGACGAAGGAGTTTTTCATGTAGCTTTGTCAACATTGAATCCCACGAACGGAAGAGTGAATTTGGCTATTTCTGGATCTCCATTGTGAAGAGACGAGTTTAGCACGACCACTTCTTCTTCCCTTGACGTAGTGGAGAAAGTCGACGGTGCCACCACTTCCTTAGTCCACTTGCTAGTCCAGTCTTCGAGATGAAAGCATCCTTCGAGGGGTATGAAGGATTCAGCGAGCGGCCCGATTGCTGGTTTGTAAACATGTAGTGACAAGCTCTTTGATTGAGTTCCTCCCCGTTCATCCGTCAGTGAA